GTCTAATACTGTTTCTCAGCCGCTTTCACATTTTTTGGGGGTAACCAGATGCCTGCTGCTTGAATTTCAAAAACGTTTTGACATATGGTTTAAACAGTGTGTCAGTCTTGTTAGGAAAATGCCACGCTTCACTGATGCAGACAATGATACTGTTTTTCCAAGTTCAAAGGACATCCATGCACCCGACAACTGTCACCATGCACACAATCACTGTGCTGATTCTGCTCTTCAGCACATGTCCTGCAGAGAGGAAACGTTAGCTTGTTGTGGCACTTGTAAGGCAGAACAGGATGAAACAGCACAGTGCACTTAAACCCAAAATCATTTTTGACCCTGTCAAAATTAGGGTGACCTATTGGATAATGTTTTGTACACTGAACAGTGGGGTAAAGCCTCGTAAAATTGTAGTATCTGATCTTTTCACTCTCACCCTGATCCTTGTGATACAGTTTCATTGCATTCATGTGACCACCGAACAGCACGTCTCCGGGTCCAAAGTCTCAGGCTTTTTGTATTTGTGCATAAAGTCTTTGACTGACTGATCAGTTGACTTTAATGACGCCCAGTCACACCCCCACATGACCACAACATTAAGGGCATAATCTGTTCTCAGAGCATCCACCTTCTCACAACTCGCATGACACAGCTCACCATATGAGATCTTGCTAGCTGGGATAATTTCGCTGATAGAAACTGCCAAAACATTCACTCTGCTGGAGGCGTCAAATCCTTCCACAAAATTTGGGCCTACATTTTGCTCACTCCCTCTGCCGCACGCTTGATCACTACACTTTGTCTCGCTTCGTATTTGAGCCATGTTAAAGGTTAACATGGTTAAAGTATTTGAGCTCGTGTTAAACGTGTGCAGGAAGAAACCTTTTTAAGGTCCTCCAATCCCAAGGCAGACGGTGCTTTGGCCAAGCACATGGGCAGAAAGCTAAATGAATATATCTATCTCTGATCATGGGATTAGTCATACATGACTCCCTCGTTACATTGTTACACCCGATACCTTGTTTAATGAGGTATTCCAAGAGTATGTAGGCTTTATTAGGCTTTCTGTAGTGACCGAACAGAATTTCTTCCTCTGCACATCCAATGCACTCACAAAAATGGCCTCGTGCTTTCCATAGTGATACCTGGTCTCAAAAATCACATTATGTAGTTTTCATGAGCCATTCAGAAAGAAAAGCATCTGGTCTTATTTAAGTTGCTTTTAGACGTTTCACCTCTCATCCGAGAAGCTTCTTCAGTTCTAGGGTCAAATGTGGGGAGTCCCAGCAGTCCCATCATAGAAGAGCCACCTCCACGGGACAAGACTCAGCTGTCCATCTGCATCTAAAGGTCAAAGGTCACTCTTTCGAGGATGCCAATGTTCACATTTTGGACAGAGAGGACAGATGGTTTGAAAGAGGAGTGAAAGAAGCATCTATGTCCACTGTGAGCGACCATCTTTGAACAGAGGCGGTGGTTTCGGCCCCCACTTTTTGCCATCTATAATCCAGTTTTGAGTTCCTCCCCAGACGCCTTAACGCCCACTCACATCCTGGGCCATCTGACCTCAGGAAATCACATGATAAGGTGGGGCCAGGTTTCACAATGAACTCACCTGAAACTCTGGCTGATTGGGACCCACACCCGTCTTCACACCTACGATGATCTGGATGACTGAAAACCTTCACAGACTTACTCATGAGCCATGTCGTTGTCCAGCACGCATTCTCTTGGTGTGCATTTGTGTTCTGTTTTTGGTTTTTTTGCCTTCTTGTATATCATACGGCATAATTCACAGTATTTTATACAATCACACGGCATCAGATTATGTGTCGGCTCTGTCAGTTTGTGTTGTTGCATTTGATGATGCGCTGACTTGCTGATACGCTTGCTTTCTGCACATTTCACCGTCTGTGGCGGGTAGTTTTGGCACAATGTAAAGCATACATTGCATCTGAATGTACATGCATGATGCAGTGGAGTTTGGTAAGTACTGTAGCAGTAATTACAGAAATAGCCAGCCGTTCAAAAAAACCCTGTCGTATTTTCATAATAATGATCATCATGTAAACACAAGTGCATTATTTGAGGGCGTGGTGCGTCATGTGTTTTGAAACAGTGTAGACATTTATGCCCTGCAAAGTAGGGAGATGATAATTTCAACATTTAGTTGTTTTTCAAAACTGGTGACACTGGTGAATGACACCTGCTGTGTGGAGTCGAGCTCTGCATTGATGTGAAGCTGTTTATCACTGACGATAAAACAGTGATTAAAAATCTCAAAAGAACTGCAGCAACTAAAAAGACAAAGGATGAATGCTGCAGAAATAAAGGTTGATTCTGTTCATCTGAACGTGAACCTTTTGGGATTTACTTACCTGGATGACTGAGCATCCATCAAGACCTTCATTGAAGGAATCAGATTTCTAATTTTGTTCACATTATTTTATGCTCCTTTTGCAACATTTCAATTTTATTTCCCAAAGACTCTGCAGTGAGTTTGACATTTAGTTTTGCAGCCAGACCCTCAAACGCGTCGAGTTTTTGGAGACTTTTCTAGTCATTCTGACTTTAGAAAAATCCCTGACTCAGCTTGTGTATTACAGCAGACAGACAAAGAACAGATGATTCAAACCACATTTTGACAAATCAGTCATTTCAAATTCATAATGAACACGATAAGTTACACGTCTTCAATGCATCAGAAACAGCTCAGCAGACTTTTCACGGGGAAACTACGCCACCAGTGGACACGTCACAAATAATCAGTGTTTTCTTCCATACACAGCCGTTTATTGCATGTCAGCTTCATGTTTCCACAGCTGAGATTCTGCGTGTACAATTACACAGTTTCAGTGCAGCGTGAGTCTGTTCACACTGAAGTGTTTCCATTTCTCAATGACCTCTGGAAATCCATAAAAGCAAATAACTGCAGTATTTCAATGTGTCTCTTTTTTTTCCCCCACAAAGGATGAAGTGACTTGATATCAATGAATCCGCTCCAAGGATGAAGTAGGGAATGCTGCTTTGCTTTTCTTAATCAGAGTTTCCAAACATTTTCCGCTGAGCATTTATCGAATATTTCAGCAATTCATCCACATCGCAGTCAAACCTGAGCACGTACAAACAACTTGAAGGCTCGAGACAAGACGGCTGACACGCACAAACGAACACGGTCAACAAAAACCACACTGTCCCTACTCACCCATTCTCCAGGCCGCCCGACCGGTAACCAGGTGAATGTATTTCCCACTCGTTCATTAAACACCTCCCATGTGACAAACAAGCTAACCGTAATCCCTGGAATAGACAAGCAACACCATACACACAACACTTTATCACCACAAAGTCCATATGGCTCCAACACTGTGTTAGTTTTTCAATTTAAACATTTTTTTCAAAAATATATTGCAATAATGGATAGTTTGTACAAGAGAACAATTTTTGCAAATTGTAATATTTTACCTACAAATTGATGTGAAATATGATGCCTGCAAAGACCTAAGTTATGGATTTTAGCTAGAACAGCATAATTAATATCTGTGTTATTCCTCTGACCCTTTCTGTTGACAGGTCCTCTGGTGCTGAGGTGGATTCCTCCTGTGATTTAGCCCACTTACTTACAGAGACAGAGAGACGGATTTCCTTCTTTTCCACTGTCTCATCCACACTTTCACACACAGCTGGTGATGCTTAAGACCACGGACTCACATTTTTGGATTCTTATTTTCTTTTATAACCCAGAAATGTTTGGCTCTACCCTTCAGATAAGTTTTTACTGTGTACAATAAGCTGCTGTGTCGGATGTTCTCCTCGTGTGAATGGTGTTTGGGATTTTCATGGAAATTCAACTTGTGTAATCAGATTTTTCTGGAATCGTTTCAAAGTCAGGTTATCAGGGTGCACCCGACATTGAGACCTGAGGACTAACACGTGGCCAAGTCTTTATGTTGGTAGTTTTATGTATTAAAATGTTTTTGTCATTTTCTTTTTCATCATTGTGGCATAAAAACCTGTGGTTGTCAAATCTGTGGTTTGGTTCACTAAAGCTGGTTTGTTCTTTTAAATCTCTGTGTCTCATTTAAACACACGGCTGTGCTCCTGTAATCAAACCTGTTGGTCCATTAATATAATCTATTCAATAATTGTCACCACTGTGTGACAAAAAACAACAAACCTGCAGCAGGAGAATAAAAACTGTTCAGGGTTCAAGGAAACTAGATGAAAACACGAGGAATGTTTAATTTTCCTGTAAATCTTTCCTCTATTTATTGTCCTTATATAGTTTGCTATTATTAACACACACAGCATCACAAATAATTGTTAAATTTAAAAACTGCAGTCACAGTTTCTCAGATTTCAGACCGGGCCACCAACTGCATTTTATTTTTATTTTATCCATTTTATTCTACTGCTGACCATCATCCACCTTTTACCAGCTTGTCCTTCATTTGCTTTTTGTATTTCCAGCGTCTAAAATTTCTTCCCGTCTTGTTTTGTGTGTTTGCTCCTTGAATTCAGAGCTCTGACCTTCTGTCCTTCTCTCTGCTGTGATTCTGTCACAGCCACTTCTCTCTGACTGGGATTCATCAGTAAATCTGTGAAATACTGACATGTCTGAGTCCAGCTTTCGCTCACGGATGATGTGATGTTTCACTGCTATCACGGTCCTGCTCTGTGATAGAGCCAAGACTCATATTTCTGATGACTGTAAAATGACTGTAGGTTGATTTTTAGAACAAGTCACTGAAAGTCGCTCAGTTTAGTTTTAGATTATAATTATAGATCTGTATACATGTACCAAATAAATCATTGCGTTATGGAGTAAATGGGGACCTCTATATTATATTTACCTGTAATGATCCATTTTAATGAAGCTGAGAGTTCAGTGATTCACCAGGTTTACTCCCCCCCCAAGTTTAGGAGGATATTATGAAATATGCTAAAATACATTTTAATAAGAACAGACAGCAATAAGGAAGACAAACATTACTGTTCATAGTGTTGAAACTCATTACACAAAAAAATAAAAAATAAAAAAACAATAACACTATTCAGCAGCTCTTCTACATTTTACAAAGTTTATAATGTTGCCACAGTTCATATCTGAGTGGTGAGATCACATTTGTTCCTGTGTTGATGTGAGGAAGAGTTAAATTTCAGTGTGTGAAGCTGGGAGAAGTTAATCTGTTTCTGCTCTGATCAGAGGAAATGAGACCTGCTGAAGCCTCTGACACACTGATCAGTTTCATTGCCTTTTATTTTTATAGCTCCAGAGCTTTTTCAAACACCCTGTGAGCATCATCAGCGAGCTGATTGAGGATAACATTCAGAACTTTAGAAGTTGTAGTGGAAGAGAGGCTCATAGCTACTGGAATTCCAGTTAATGGAGTAAATCTGGATGCTTCCTCTGCTTGGGCTATCACCCTCAAGAGGAGCTCTGTAGTTATTTCTACTGCAGCCAGTGGTGAAATGATGACAGCACACAGATCAGCGTAGGGCACACCTGTTCTGTTAGAAAGTCTCTTCAAAGACAGGATATCGAGACCAAACACAAAAACATAATGTGTGACAGCACCAACCAGCAATGCAGCATCAACAGCAATAGAAAGACCAGGAAGTGGAACAGCTGCTCCAGCTGCAGACAGAGTGGCCCAGTATTTTATTTTGGACTTCAGAGCTTGTTTCTTCTTGTTGATGATCTCTGGGTTGATGTTGAGCATGGCACACAGCAGAGCATCTCTCTTCTTCATAGGAAGTTCTCTCTCTAAGGTCTCTTGTAAAAGAGAGAAATCACACCAGCGCTGCTTAAAACTCGACACCAGGAAGACCCGTGGAGACTTGATGCCTTGTAGACCTGTGTGATAGAGAAACATGTTGACATGGTTAGATTTGTAAAATAATATCATAGGATCATGTGTGGAAGGAAGAGTCGTGGATCCAATATGCAGGACTCAAGAGAAGCTTTGATGCTGGATTTACAGGTCAGAAGATAAACTACAGCAGAAACCTAAGAATCAGGGAACTCTCCAAAAAGAGCTCACAGCTGGAGCAGATATGATGACAACATGACAAAGAACAGTGGGAGAAACAGTAACTACAGTAGTTATCTGATGATACAGGAAGTAAACACACACATGAGACTGTCAAAATAAAACAGGAAATAACACACCGACTCTGACAAAGACACGTGAGCTTGACACTGGGACTGGGAATGAACAGACATGCAGACACATGACAGACTGGGTAGACAAAGGATGAAACACAGAGAGAAGAACATGGGAACAGGAAAGGGAGAAACAAAGAGTAGGACTAGAGACGTACTAACAAGACAAGAGAGGGAACACGGAGACACGAGGACACACCTGAGGAGACCACGACCACAAAGGGAAGTAACACCCATGGCAGGAAACTAGAAGCATGGATAACTGAACGAGGGAGCACTAGGAAATAATACCAAGCAAACAAACTAAACAATGTAGAACACATAAATCTAGAAATAAATGAGGAACTCATACAAACTCAAAACACTGTGTCACTGACCCGGGAACCAAGACAAAGAATAAATAATTTAAAACTAGGATATGTTTAAAAAGTGAATCCAGATCTCACTCAGCTGTGATCAGACACTCACTGTGAACGCAGTCGTCTCTGATTACTTTGAGAGTCCTCTCTGCACTGAAGTCTCTCTTTCTCCTCTCAGCATTTATATCGTTGTCGATCTTTGAGTGAACAAAGTAGAACTTTTTCTTCATCTTCTGAATCTCCTTTGCGAGTTTCACGTCATTTTCCGTGAAGCGAGTGTCTGAGATGATGATGAAGAAGTCAAACTTCTCAAATCCAACAAGCTTCAGGTACTTATCTGCCGGAAACTTGGTGGTGCCGATTCCAGGAAGATCCCACAAAGTAACATTGGAATAGTTGGGATGGGGGTACGCTGTGACCTCTGGGGTGGTTTGTTTCACACCAGTAGGAGCAGCTCCCTCCTCATCATCACTCACACCTCTGAAAGCATTAACAAAGGTGGATTTACCAGAACCAGATTCTCCTGTGATGGCGATATTTAGTGGAATATTATCTTGTTTTTCTAAATGTTGTTGAATCTTTGCAGCTGCTGCAGCAGTGTCTTTGTGCTGCAGGTCTTCTTTATGTCCAGGAATTTCTTCTGATTCATTGAATCCTCTGGCTCCTCCGTGCTGATCCTAAACAAAAGAAAAATAAGGAAAATTCAAATTTTATGTTAGATGAAGAATTTGTAAAGATTTCATATCTTCAGTTTATTTTCTTTATAAAGATAACTTACTGCTGCCTCGTAGAGCGTTCCACTTTCAGTTGTGTTAAAAAGCTGGTCTTCAGTGGTCTTCATGCTTCTTATCAGGATCCAGGTCTGCTTTCTGGCCAGGGCCTCCAGTTTTCTGTACACTACAACTTCAAGTGTGTTCTTGACACTGAAAACAAAGTTCTCACTGAGGAGGGCGTTCCACAGGTCCTGAATTTTGGTTCTGAGCTGTGAGAGAGTGATCCCAGCAGACTTTGAAGCTTTAGAGAGGATGGTGTTCTTCACTTCTTGGAGGCTCTCGCTGTAAGCTGGATTAGGAGCAGCCGTGGGTGGACTGCCCTCCCACAGCTGCCCACAGTATTTCACATCTTCCTGAACATCAAAGTCAATGACATCACTGAAGCGCTCAGCATCACAAAGCTCCTCTTCAGCTGCTAGTTTGGTCATCTGGTCCAGATGTTCCTGCAGGCGTCTCTTTCCGTCCACGTTCTTCTCTGCTG